CCTCCAGAATTTGGGTGCCAACAAGTGCAGAAGGGTGGCTCAGTTCAGGTTTGCAAGCACCCCTTGGCACAAACAGCCTGGGTGCCATCTCTGGAAGTTGATGGTGGGAGTCAGACAGCTTCCTGGGAAAAAAATGAGCAGGTCCCCAGTGAAACCCCACCTTCACGCCAGGAACAACCTGAAGTCTGGGGGCCCGGCTGCCAGTTACAGGTGAAGTCCACTGCTGGGAGGACTTCATCGATGACCACACAGCCAATCAGATGGTACTCTTTCCAGGCCAGCCCACGGCTGCCCATGGACCAAGCAGCATGTACTTCCTCTCTTCTGAGCCTATAAAAAACCCAGCTTTGGCCAGACTTACACCAAAACTGGGACTGCCAGCTGTGAAAAGGGGCTACTTACTCCAGGTGCCCTCTACTCTGAGGGCTGCACACTCCACGAGACAATCTGCCTGTGGATAGAACCTACCAACTCCAAGTCCCCTCTCTGCTGAGGGCTGCACACTTGATGGGACGACCTGCCTGTTGATAAGAGGTACTGACTCTGGGTCTCCTCTCCACAAAGAGCTGCTCTCATCAGGATGACGTGCCTGTGGAGAGGAGCTGCCCACTTAGAGTCTCCTGAGAGCTGTACTGTTGCTCAATAAAGCACCTCTTTGCCTTGCTTACCCTCCAGTTGTCTGTGTACCTCGTTCTTCCTGGACACAGGACAAGAACTTCTGCTGAATGGGAGAAATGAAATACCTATAACACAAACAGGGCTGAAACACACCCTCCCACTAGCCACATTACAAGCAGTAAGGAGAGAAGAGCTGTGGCCCTTCAGGGAGCCCAGACCTAACGGCTCACTGAGCCAGAGCTGTGACGTCATCTTTGGGGCTCTGCAGTTCCTGGAATCTCCAACCCTCCTGGGGCCACCATGTTTCCTGGTGCCGGCAGTAGAAACCGCTTACAGAGCACCTGGTTCAGCCACAGCCTCGCACACAGCCAGCATCTGAAGCTGCCTGCCCTGCCACAGCCGGCATGACTGGCTGTGTGCAGGGGCCAGACCCTGCGCTCACTCACACACCCTTTGCTCACCCTCAGCACGGGATCCGCACAAGCAGCACAATCCAGCAAAGCCTGCTGGGCCAAATAGGTAGAATGAGCCTTGCGAGTCTGAGCAAAACTCGGACAAAGGTGCCACCAGCCACAGATGTTTCTGGCTGGAAAAGCAACACCCCAAAGATCCTGTGAGAAAAGGTGTTGCTTAAGCTGGCTTAGCTAGTTGGACTTCCACTCTTTACCACTGGCTGTGTGTGGCTTGGAGACCTCTCACAATTCAGGGAGTTCACAATTTTGTCTATGTTCAGTCACGGATGGGTGGCTTGGAGGTCTTCTCCATTAACTCCTGGGACCATCACCTTGGGTTCACAAACCATCTTCCAGCCCAACAGGGATGCCTGTGATGTCACATGTAAGCTCAGCATTGTGGGACTCACCATGGGGACAAAGGACCATGCATCATTTAGCCAGCTTAGAGGCTGTAAGTAAGCCTTTGGGTCAGTGAGCTCTGGCATCATGAAGGGCTGTTCGTCACCCAAGGAATCCTTTCACATTTGCCCTGAGTCCCACTCTAGCTGATTGTGAGAGCAGCCTAGCACATCCATACAGCTGCCCCGCCCCAGGATAGGTTGGATCCAGGACTCTCCACAAAGCGTCCGGCTGGGTTGCTGTTTCTGCCCTGTGAACTGGTGGCCACCAAGCTCTCCAGTGTTCTCAACAAGATCTTCAGAAATGAACTCTGCCAAGCTAGCTTTCAAACAAAGTCTATGGGTAAAGCTGCAGACATCTCAGTCCTTAAGGCCTATCTCTCTCGCTGGGCAGAACCTCTGGAGTGCTGCATTGGAACTGGGGGCAGGACAGCAGGCAGCTCTACCAGGAGTGACACTCAGCTTGTCAAGTGGGCACTTGGGATGGGGTTGTGGGGTAGCCCCTCCAGCACTGTCGGCTCTGCCTTACAAGCTGCTGGGCTGGGACTCATTGGGATAGAATGCTCAGGAGCCCAGGTAGAGTCTAGAATCTAGTCCACTTTAGCTTACTTTTATGTTAGTGCCCTGGGCCAAGCCTGTCAGGAACTGGGCTTCTGCACATGGGTCTGGGGAAAATAAGAACCATGGCCAGCCCCTCCTGGGTGGGGCTGTAGCCATAGATTAGGAAGTGCAAGAAGGCAGAGTCCCTGACTTTTTGGCTGCATGGACTTAGAGCAGAGCTCCTGCACACAGACTGGGATACAAAGGAAGATAATAGGCCATGGCTCAATTTCGGCAGACTCAATCTGTTCTCACTGAGAAAGAAGGTCTCTGAAAAATATTAAAACAAGTATTCCTAAAGGTAAATAACTGAACAATTAAGGTTAATTTTAGAGATTCTCTTCAATGGGTGAAAAGCCCTCTATAGGTTTTCAACTAGGGACAATTTATATTTGGCAACTTCTAGAGACACTGTTGGTTTTCATAGCTGGAAAGGAAGTAGGGGAATGCTACAGACTTCTGGTGGAATGAGCATAAGAATATTATCAACATCCAGCAGTTCAGAAGACAGACCCACCCACAACAACACAGACATACTGGGCCCAACGCATCAATAGTGCTAGAGGAGAGACCGCCTGCTCTGGAGCTTCCATCCCAAAGCTGGCATAATAACACAGTAGGTAGAGCCGCTCAGAAGCTGAACACCAGCCCTGTAACTGACTACTCAATGCTCCCTTTCAAATAACTTTACCTTGTTACAACTCAGGTTTTTTTAATCTGTATAAGACTTGCCTTGGAGTTATGTTGTAAAATTTCATGGAAAATATATGAAAGACTGTCATGAGTGCCATATACTGGGAACTCATATCATGGTAGTAGATCATGTAAAAATAGATCTTCACATGGCTTAGTCCAGCCCACCCTTTCCACAGAACATTCTACACTAAAATGTCCACACAAATCCACAACCATAATGCCCTCATTTCCCCCTCTGAACCTCCTACAAGTATTTCCCCATGCCACTGAGCATTCTTGTGGTCTCTTCCTCTATGCAAATATTAAATAGTTTTCTCTCCTAGCTGACGCATTTTCAACTAATTGTAGCTTCTAGCAACTCAGTGCCTAAATGTGCCCTATGTATGAAATTGCCTCACCAATCTTATTTGTAATCCTTTTAACTACCCTGTAATAGGGGCACTATCATTGTTGAAATGGAATCTGGGAGACACAAAAAGATCAAGAGCCATGAAAAGATTCTCCAGTTGTCCACTTTATCAATTAAAGTTATATCTGAGATAATGTCATCTGATTACATATACTTTAAAAATTACAAGGCCGGGCACAGTGGCACATGCCTGTAACCCCAACACTTTAGGAAGCCAAGACATGAGAATGGCTTGGGCCCAGAAGTGCAAGATAAGCCTGGGTAACATGGCAAAACCCCAACTACACAAAAAATAAAAAATCAGTGGGACGTGGTGGAGTGAACCTGTAGTCCTAGCTACTTAGGAAACTGAGTACACACACACACATCTAAATAAATCATGTTATGGGTTATTTGTCAAAAGCACTATAATAAGAAATACATTACACAAGCTCACTGGTTTCAACTAGGACACAGTACAAGAAAGTGTATATTATTTTAAAGTTCAGTTTTTTTCAAGACTGAATTTTCCCCTTAATCTATGTATGTGTAAATATCCTGATATAAAATATAAAAGTAACGTAAAATGGACTCTGACACATCTATGAGATGTCAATGCCATTTACTCTGCTCTAGATTTTCTATTACATAAAGAAAAAACATGTGAGAAACTCTGGAGTCTCATACATTTTCTGCATTCTGTGTTTCTAAAAGTAAAATGAGTATGTAAATTTCTGTGGACTTATTAAACACTGAAAAAATAGCTGCCTTTGTTTAAAAAGACATGCCTCATGTTAAATCATATGCTGTTTTTAAAACTTTGAGAAAAATGACATGTTATTACTTTTACTCAAGTATAGTTAAAAATACTAACCTTGCAGTAACTGAAGTGAATTAAAGAGAGAGAAAGAATGAACTGTAGCAAAATCAGAAGTATGGCCAGCTTGACTTATTTCACAAGTACTGTATCTAATAACTTTTTAACAGAAAACACTTGCTACACTGACACCAGCTAAGGCTCAGCAAAATGTATTATTAAATTGGCCTGCTTATATACTATTACAGACTGCTACTGAATACTTGATTTTATTTCATACAATTGACAAGAGTTGACAGGAAAGGACAGGCTTAATGACAAATTAAGATCAACTTGTATACGTGTCACATAGGAGGGTGCATCAGGTGTGCTGAAGTAACTGATTGGACATCGCTGCAGCACGAGTCTGTCATATCACATAATTCACCCTGCAATATTAGCAGACTTCCTACAACAGCTCACAAATCCAGTAGCTCTCAAAGAGACGGGCTAGATTATATGGCTAACAAAGGAAAGATAGGCATTGACTTTGCATTTATAATACCAGATCGTTTGCCATTAAGCTTAATTTTTAAATCATTTATATGATTTAATGACTCTGCATGCAATTTTCAAGCTGGAAACAAGACAAATAGCACGACAGAGATCATGTGGATGAGTACAGTGTCATTTAACCACCCCTCATCTCACTAACAAGTGACAGCTGAGGTACTATAATATGTCCCAAACACTTAAAGTATAATGTCATCACTTAGGAGACAAGTGAAAAAGATATTGGCATTTATAAGAGATTGATGAAAATTAGTTCGAAAGCATTCATTTCTCTTAATACCACTAAAAGAATTGTGTGCACTCTGGAGATATTTGATCTGAATTAAGAAAGTGATGAAGCAATTGATTAATTGGAATTTAAGCCATCAGTCACCAGATCCATCAACATCTTCATTTACATTCTAAACAACCAGCTCACAGCCCAAAAGAATACTCTGTGCTAATACCGAGTCAGTGCAATGCCATGAGCAACTCACCATGCTGCACCAACAAGCACCTGGCTGCCAGTGTTCAAGCTCGGGTATGTTGGACACATTAATACTTAGGACTTCCATCATGTCCAAGATTTAAAATATTCTTACTATAATGAAGAATATATTATAAAATTTTTTCAAACTGAAACTAAAAAGCAATACAATATTAAAAGTGTTAGTAAATACAAATATTCAGTACATTTGTGGTTAACAGAAAACTAGGCAATGAGAAAACTTTAATTACTTAAGAATCATACAAACACAATTTCTAAAACTAAGAGTTCTTAACTGAAAGCAGTATTATAACACAAATTTTACACAGCTTGAAAGCTATTTGGTCTATTTTATAAGGAGAAAAAAATAGCATGAAAAAACAATCTGACTTCTTAATATCTGCATTTGAGTAACTATTACGTTAACAATTTAAATTTGACAGAAAAAATAAAACCAAGGACGAAAACAGAAGCACAGGTTAAAACAAACTACAGCAGGACCCTAACTTCAACGCATCAGTAATCTCCCAGGGATATGTGAACAATTAAAAATCTAGTGCACGCATGTATTGCGTACATTTTTCTGAGGAACGAGGTGATAATTCTTAAGATTCTCAAAGAGATCCATGACCTTCAAAATATTAAGTATCACCCCACTACAAAGAGTAATTAATTCTCCCTACAACATGGAATGTAAGACAAAATTAGAGAGTAATGTTTTAAAACATCATCAATTTGAAAGTGTTATTTATCCGAGGTTAACACAATAGAGTACCTCATTTTACTAATGTTCTAATATTTTGTTTATATTTTTCTCTCTTACTATGGCTTAACAATGATGCAGTGAAAAGACTGTTAAGAGGTTGAAGAAGAATTTCCAAAATTGCTATTAGGGACTGGGCTCAGTGGTTTACGCCTATAATATCAGGACTTTGAGAGGCCAAGGGAGGCAGATGATCGCTTGAGGTCAGGAGTACAAGACCAGCCTGGCCAATATGATAAAACCCTGTCTCTACTAAAAATATAAAAATCAGCCAGGCATGGTGGCGTGCCTGGAGTCCCAGCTACTCAGGAGGCTGAGGCAGGAGAATCGCTGGAACCTGGGAGGTAGAGGTTGCAGTGAGCCAAGATCGCACCACTGTACCTTTGTTGCCTGGGCAACAAAGCAAGATCCCCACCAAAAAGAAAACACACACACATACACACACACACACACACACACACACAAATTGCTATTAGTCATATAATTTTAGGCAAAGCATTTACATTTTCCAGCCCTGGGATTCCTCTTCTGAAAAGTGAACATTTCTAAACATCTTTCAGCTTTAAAGTGCTTGACTCTGTTCATAATTTTTCTTCTAACAATCTACATAATCTCTTCCTTTTAATTAATTACCCAAAACTGTTTCCATATTTGGAATATTATCTTCCATATATTTCTATTACATTGTTAAAAGGGCATAATACCAAAGAGCATCTCCCAAATTAAAGCATTTTGTTATTCATTACACTGGATACGCATTTGTAAAATAGATCATAAGTAAGTAGGTGAAGCAAGCAGGATGGCAGTATAAAAACCTCTGAAAATATAATTCTGCATAACTGCAATGAGAAGACTAGTGAAAACTGCCAAAACAACTTTTTCAGAACTCTGAAAAATAACCGAAGACTTGAAAGAATTCCACGAGCATTTATTCAACAGAAACACTAAACCTAGCTAAGAGTGAGCTGTGTTATTTAAAATCCATGGGGCAATCACTAACAAAATAGTTTTTTTAATATGTTATAATAGAAATGATGGGGAATTAAAACAGCACATTAGAAAATATTTAAAACAAAAGAAGGTAGTAATGGAGCAACAGACACACACAAAAATATCGGAAGACACACAGAACACAAACAGCAAAACTGCAGATGTAAATTCTGCATTATCAGTAATTATACTAAATGGAAATGGATTAAAGGTTCCAATCGACAAGCGGAGACCAATGGAACCTTCTGAGTGTGCCACCTACTGCCCATCAGGCTCCGATGTATAATCAGATGATATAAAGCCATGAATGAAGTTACAGTTTCCCAGGAAGAAATGTAGATCACAAACTTAGGTGTGCTTAGGACAGGATCCTGAGAAACGCCATTTAGGTTTCACAGAGCAAGGGGATGTAGGATGAGGTCATGACAAAAACATCTTATTCAAAAGGTCTGGCTGTAAAACAAAGGTCAGAGACAGGATGGTAGCTAGGTAGCTAAGTTGGGTCACTGCGGGCCAGGGGTGGTCTTTGCTGACTGGGTAGAGACATGTTTCTATGCCTACAGGAAGAAGGAATGGAGCTGTAGCTGAAAGCAGCGGGACTGGCGGGAGGGCTGATGGCTGAGAGTGAATGAACAGGTGATAAATGCAGAAAGGAGAAACACTAAGAAAGTTGGAATGACCACCATCAAGAACGGGCCTTGTCAACAGGGATACTGTGGCTTACGCAGTGAACTCTACTGATTCAGAGCTCCAGTCAGATGCCTGCGTGGCCTTCGCAGCTAGAGCTCTACAGCCAGGTATGAGAAGAGACACTGAAGGGACAGATGTAGGTCTGCAGGGCTGATCAGGCAGGATAACAGGCAAAGGGAGCTCATCCGGATGAAGATAATGATTATTAGCAAGTGGACATACCTGCTTAGATTTTAAATGGGTGGATTTTGCTGGATGTAAATTTTGCTAAATAAAGCTGATATTTTTTTTAAAAGCACAGATTGACAGAATTAATGAAAAATCATAATGCAATTATATGCTGTCTACAAGACACATACTCAGGGTTCAAAGACACAAATAGGTTGAAAGTATGACAACAGAAAAAGGTGCAAACAGTAACCAAAAGAGAGGTGGCATGGCTGAAGACGTTTTATAATGATAAAAGGGTCAGTCCACCAAGAAAACAAATATATTTACAACTAACAGCAGAACTTCAAATACATGAATCAAAATCTGACAGATTAGAAGGAAAAATAGATGCAGTAACAGAAATAGTAATAAACTTCAGTACTCCACTTTCGATAATAGATAGGACAACTAGGTTGAAGATGAACAAAAAAGGAAGAATTGAACAATGCTGAAGACCAACGACAACAAGAATCTATAGAACATTCCAGTCAACAGGAGCAGAATGTAGACGTGAGATTCTCAAGTGCATGCAGAATGTTCTCAAGGATACCCAACATGTTGGGATATCTCACAAATGTGAATAAAACTTAAAAGGATGGAAATCACATAAAGTCTGTTCTCCAACTACAATGGAATCAAATTAGAAATCAGTAACAGAAGGAAAACAAAAAAATTATAAATATGTGGAAATTCATATTCATTAACAAATAATGAATCAGGCCAGATAAGGTGACTCACACCTGTAATCCCAGTGCTGTGCGAGGCTGAGGTGGGAGGATCACGTGAGACCAGGATGTCGAGACCAGCCTGGGCAGCACAGCAACAGATACAGCCTGTCTCTACAACAAAATTTAAAAATTACCCAGGTGTGGTGGTATGTGCCTGTATTCCTAGCTACCTGGGAGGCTGAGGCTGGAGAACTGCTTAAGCCCAGGAGCTCAAGGTTACAGTGATTATCACAGTGAACCATAATCATGTCACTGCACTCCAGCCTGGGTAACAAAACAAGACCCTGACTCTATAAAAAACAATAAAATAAAAACTAAAAATAAATAAATAAGCAATGAATCAACAAAGAAATTAGAAAATAATTTTGAGATGTATGAAAACAAAATACAACATACCAAACCTCATGAAATACAGCAAAAATAGTACTCAGATGGAAACTTGTAGTTATAAGCACCTGTACTAAAAAAGACCCTTAAATCAATAATCTATAAATTATTTCCACCTTAAATAAACTATAAAAAGGAGACTAAACTGAGCAGAAAACAAGTGGAAGGAAGAAAACAATAAAAAATAGAAACCAATACATGAAATAAGGAACAGAAAAACAATTGAGAAAAATCATTAAAACCAAAAGCTGGTTATTTTAAAACATCAAAATTGACAAACCTTTAAGCTAGAGTGACCAAGGAAAAAAACAGAGAAGAGTTCAATTACCAAAATCAGTAACAACGGAGGCTACATTAGCATCAACATTACAGAAATAAAAAGAACTATAAGGAAATCCTAAAAACAACTGTACGACAACAAATTAGATAACCTACATAAAGTGGACAAATTCTGAAAAAGACACAAATTACCAAAACCTACTCGGAAAGAAATAGACAATCCAAATAATCCCGTAACAAGTAAAGAAACTGAATTAGTAATTTTTTAAAAATCAGAGTAAAGTCCAGTCCCAGAGGGATTCATGGGTGAATTCTATCAAACACTTAACAAAGAATAATAATTCTTCACAAACTCTTCCAAAAAACAGAAGAAAGAACACTTCTTAACTCATTCTACTCTGGCCAGTATTACTCTGGCACCAAAACAAAAGTAACACAAGAAAAAAACAAAAACTATAAGCCAATACATCTTTTTTTTTTTTTTTTTTTGAGACGCAGTTTCACCCTCTCATCCAGGCTGGAGTGCAGTGGTGCAATCTCCGCTCACTGCAACCTCTGCCTTCCGGGTTCAGGTGATTCTCCTGCCTCAGTGTCTGGAGTAGCTGGACTTACAGGCCTGTGCCATCATGCCTGGCTAATTTTTGTATCTTTTTTTTTTATTTTTTGTTTTTTAAGTAGAGACGGGGTTTTGCCATGTTGGCCAGGCTGGTCTCGAACGCCTAACCTCAAGTGATCCACCCGCCTTAGCCTCCCAAAGTGCTGGGACTACAGGTGTGAGCCACCTCGCCCAGCCCAATACATCCTTTGTAAATTGAGACGCAAAACAAACCCATAACAAAACATTAGCAAATCAAATCCAGCAACGCACAGGACTACACATCCATGATCAAGTGTTATCTGTTCTGGCCTCTGCCTGTGGGTGAGGAGATGAGCCTTTCAGCAGAGCTCTCCCACTCAGTAGTCTATGCTGTGAGTCATTCGCATGTGACAAACTATG